CAAATTGTTAAATACTTATAATAAAAATAATTTCCTACATGCTAGTTCGTTTATTTTCTTTTATTAGCAACAAAAATATGATGCTCTTGAAAGATCTTTCAGATCAAAACCAATAAATTTCTGTTTTCAAGCAAAATCCGATAAATTAAAAAATATATATATATATTAATAAAAGCAGTAAAAAAAATATGTATTAAAATTCTAGAATGTTATTACATGACTTCTATTATTTATTTCCAATATGATTAATGATTGATGTTTCTTTAAATTGTTATGGGATTTTACTGTACAAGTTTTTGGTGTTTATCTCAAAATTGGAAAAAGTGGATTTATCGGTTTTTGCATCTATGCTCCTCTATTGACCTATGTAACATGCTATGGTAGGCTGCCAATATATGTTTTGTAGGATGGGATGATGAATTGTGTATAGTCGTGTCAGTATGGGTAGGTTTATGAAATACCGAGAACTCATGTTTTTTTTTAAGTATAATAATTGTTAAATCTAGCAAATTTGTAGATTGATTCTATTTTGTTTCTATTGTAAATTCAATATGACTGTGGAGTGAATTAATATACCATAAAAATTGGTCAAGTTGTCTGTTAGTTTTCCTGTAAAACATACCAGTACATCATCTATGTGTCTCCAAAAATATAAAAACTGTTTGAATACGGTGTGTTTTGAAATCTTTGTTTCCTTTAAATTACTTTATTGATATAAATTCAAACACGTAAAGTTTGACGAATAATTAGTAGGGGTGCAACTACTAATTATTCGAGACCTTCAACATCATTGTTTGGTAGGTTGACTGCATTATTCTATCTCTATAATACCTAGCCATTATGTAGGTACTTACTTTTATTTTTATTATTACATAATAAATTAGTAACATTATTTAGTTTGCCTGTAAACTAAGCATAGTTCATTTCTTTAATCTAATTATAAATACAATTTTTATGTTTGTTTTATTGTAGAGGATTGTACCCCACCTTTCAAAGAAACTAATATTGTTGAAGATGAAGTATTAATTAATATAGAACAGCCTAAAATATATTTTCAATAGGGAGTACAAGGAATTCTCTGTAAAGAGCAACAAAGGGATGACACCCATGATAATGAACAAGAAATTATTGTTGCTGGAGGTTTGTTGGCGTTTATTATGCGTTAGAATAGTTGTTGTAATACTTTTTCTGGGCACATATAAGTAAGTCAGTAGTGTTTTATTTGGTTGCTAAAAAACTTATTAATATTAATTTTTTACAGGTGATGGAGGTAAAGAAGCACATAATAGTATGTTATCATTAACATAAGGTTCTGATGAATTTGTTATTGATTATGAAGATGGCTACATGTGTGGTGAACAAGGAATTCTCTTTAAAGAGCAAGAAAGGGATGACACCCATGATGATGAACAAAAAATGCTTGTTTCTGGAGATATGTAGGCGTTTATTATATTAGAACAAGAAGATAAGGATACGACTAAAAAGGGTTATCTACGAAAAAAGAATTAAACAGCAGAAAAAAGAATGATAGCAATGAATATTGCAAATTATTGGCTTGTAGCGATAATTTTCCTGAAGAAAGAAAATTAGAAACAAATTTTCAATTTTGAAATTTATCGTCCAATGAAAAAAGAGCATTTGTTTTTTTGTTCCTGTTTCTTGTTTTCTGTTGCTTTAGAAAAATTTTAGCTTCCATCCTGAAATTGTTCATTATCTTATTAAATATGGTACTGCTGGATTGTACCTACCGAGCGACATTAACATCACTTTTACATATATGGCTGTAAATATTGTTCTGAAGCTATTTTCTTGTGGCATTGTAAATTAATTACTATTTATAACTGGGAATAAGCCACAATTAAAGATAAAAATACGTTTATTGACATTTTAATTTCCAATTCGGAAATCGTTCTCAAAATACAAACAGTAAATTAAACAAATTTTGTTTTTTGTTACATAGTGAAAAAATTCTTGTAATCATTTAATTTTATCTGACTCATTTATATTGACAATTCAGACATACATTATGCATTTTAAAGTAGACGACTTTAAAATGATATTGCCAATATTGTTGAGTTGCGCTCCTGGGACGACTTTACTTATAAGATAGTTCATTCGATTACATGAAATCAACTTTAACTTGAGAATATCCGTCAGAAAAAATCATAGCATGTAATTCGTCTTTAAAAAGACAAACACATGACATGATGACAGTAAAATTCTCCTGTTAGTGATTCCATAGTAAATTATGAGGAAAAAACCAGGAAAAAAACCTCATAATACTATTCCGACATTGTAAGTATTTGTTCGTGAATTTAGTTTACCTTCAACAAACATCAAAATTCTGATTTTATATGTTACGTTATTTAAAAAACATAAATGATGTATCCTCTATATGTTACTGACTTACTAATACTGGTATTTTCTTATTAACAACTTCCTCTTTCAATATTGGTAACCAGATCCTACTACATTCTGCCGAGGAATTTGCGACACAATTGGCCTCATTTAGCATAATTAGAGCCGCTTCTTTGATTTTTCGTTTTTTACCATCCGTTTCTTTTAGGACTATATTTGAATTATTCCATTGAACCCTATGTTCATTATCCCATGCGTGTTTACATATTTGAGATCTATCAAATTCTCTATTTTTAATATAAATAGTAATTAATATGGCTGTAAAGTCAAGTAAAAAAATATCATTTGCTAAACTTAGAAAAACTTTCAAGGAAGATTGCGAAAACTGTTGTGCATGATGAGTTTAGACAACTTTACCATAATCAGAACTCCAACCCTGAAAAAACCCAGTATATGTTTCTGCAGACTTGCAGGTTGACATGATGCCACGTTTGGAAACGTGTAAAAAACGGTCTTGCTTTCGCAGAAATTAACAACATAACAAGAAAGTATTGTTCCATTAAAAAGTCAAAGTACGTCAAAACCGTTTGCCGTAATATGAAATGAGGCAATCTTCTTCTTCTTCTTCTTAGCCTTCTATTGTCCATGTTTGGACATAGGCCTCTCCCAACTCCTTTCATCGGTCTCTCTCCTGAGCAACATATTTCCAATTTGTTCCGGCTATTCTTTTAATGTCATCAACCCATCTCATCTGTGGTTTTCCTCTTGGTCGTTACTTTCGTACTCCAATGTTGTATTGTAACATTTCAACGTCGGTCTTTTTATCTAGCAGTGTAGCCCGCGAAGCTCCATTTAAGTTTGGCAATTTTTGTTGTTATGTCCTCGACTTTTGTTTTTGATCCTACCCAGTCGTTCCTCTTTGTATCTGACAGTCGTATACCTAACATTGGTCTTTCCATTGTTCTTTCTGTTATGGCTAGTTTAATCATGTTTGCCTTGGTTAGGGTCCAGGTTTGACATCCATATGTCATGATAGAAAGAATGCATTGGTTGAACACTTTGCTCCTCAAGTATTGGGGTATTTTGCAGTTCTTAAGTATCCAACTAAGTTTTTCAAATCCTGCCCATGCTGGTCTTGCTCTTCTCGTAATTTCCGCACTTTGGTTCTCTTTGTCAAGTTGCAGGATTTGTCCTAGGTAGATATATTCCTAGTTCTATCTCACTGCCATTTATAGTTATACGTCTGTGGTCATCTGTGTTTGCCATTATTTTTGTTTTTTTCATATTCATTTTTAGGCCAACGTATTGGGAGCTGCCTGCTGGTTCCTCCATCATAATTTGCAGTTCTTCGAATGTGCTCGCTATGAGGCAATCAGTGGTCGAAAATAGGAAGATTTTTTATGTTTTTTAAAATTTTATAAAGTCGCTAATATGACTTCCAAGACGTTTACAACGCAGTGCAGGCTTCGAGAAAATCTGTAGAAGTGAAACAAATGAATATTTTCGATTTGGATCAATGGATTGATTAAAACTCGCAAATTAAACTGAAAAATGATCCCAATCGTGCATACTTAGATGATATGGTTTAAGGACACCTCATCAGAAAAACATGTGTATAGTATATACAAGACATCTCATTCCTGCTCAGAAATTATGAAATTCGATTTCTTAAAAAACAAAAAGATTAAAAATATTTTGAAACGTTAAAACGTGAAAATCCCTTCATCACTTTTTAAACCAATGGGATTAAAAAAAAAGTTATATAAAAATAATATATAACAATAACAACTTGTTGAAAACGTATGTGTATTAAAACTTTTGCTGTTTAAGAAAAATAGTTGTGTATTTACAATATTTGTCTATATACAATATTTGTTAAAGTATTTACTCTTTGAAACTGATTTAAATATTATAAATGTTCAAACCATCATTATTACTAGTTCTCCTCTTATTAAGGCTGCCTCCCGAGCGTTTGTCCTGCCACAGATTCTTGGTGAATTTAAAAATAACAATGTTTTTTACTTGTGTGTTTGAGCCTTGAAAATCGTAATTTTTCGTTTCTCGCAAATTATTTATAACTCAAAAACGATCAAGTTTACAGAAAAACTACAAGTGACCCATTTTGTTCAGAATAATCCAAAACTTCCGTCCAAATCAAAGTGATTGTTACAATTTGTTTAAAAAAAATGCTTAAAAAAATTGAACAACTTTTCGCAAGGGCTACCCCTTGAACGTTATTTTAGTGTGTCTAATGAAAGTGATTATGCAAAAAATCTCATGGGAATATTTTCCCGAATGAACCAAGACTTACTACAGAAACAATTTTAGAAAAATTCAGTAGAAAATGAAAAATCTATTGCTTTATTGTTAAATGTTTGTTCTATTGTTGTAATTAAATCACGTATCAGTATTTAGGAGAGATACCTATTTGGTCTGCACTTTTCTATTTTTAGTTATTCTTCCTATCTAAAAAAAGTGCATAAAATAAGCAACACCATGCACTTATCAAGCAGCATGCTTTTCAAAACAAATTCATCCAGTGAATTCTCGTCGTCAGTAATCAGTAGGCTCGCTGCGGTAGATACGCATGGTGAGTGGCGGATGAAGAGAGGCAGAGATCGCGATTGTAACAATTGACACTCAGTCTCATTGCGATCGTCTCTTGTTTCAGATTTTAATCGCGTATCCGGTACTTCAGTTGCGTTGCGATTAATATTTCAGTTTCGTTTTATAGCGGTAAGTCTATTAAGGACAATTTTGTTCGTTGTCATGCATTGTGGAATCTTTCCGCGTTTCTCATGTCTTAATGCTATTGTTTGGTTTTTAGATCATTTGTTTGACCTTGCTGTTTACCTCGTATTTTCTCTGATGGATGTGCGAGCTTTCCGTGAAGTTGGATTACACGTGAGTAACTGATTTGCATTTTTATTCAGTTTATATGACTGCTAGGGCTTCCCCTAATTATCATTTTACGTGACACCATTAGGGTCTTTATATTTGAGTTAGTAGAATATGCAATATATTTATGGTATCTATGGCACTCATCAATGATTTCAATTTTTGTTACTCAAGTATTGCTTTGATTAATTAAAAACAAACTGATATGTATTAAATGTGTATAGGGTTAGTTTTAGAGTTAGTTTTAAATTTTTAGTAAGTATCAATTGCTTTCAAAGCTAATAGTAATCTTTAGTTAGAAGGAACTTTATTGTAATATCGTTAACGTAAATCTAAGGCGAGAATGCTAATGCAACAATCTACTTATTAAACCATTATTTATTAGACTAGTAATATTTTAAACTGTTTTTATTTTAAACTAGCATATAATTTTAAACAAATTTAATTGTGTGTCATATCCTTGTAGTGACTTAACTAATTAGCAGTTTTCAGTCCACTGCTAAACATAGGCCTCCCGCAAATAATTTTATTGCATCCGATCTTGATCCCTTTTAATCCAGTTGTGCTGGATGCGCTTGCTGTAATTCTTTTAATTGCGTCCGTAATACCAGTTTTTCTATAACTATGTATTTGATTTCAAACGCTGTCTCTGAGGGATATATTCAACATTGACTCTGTGCTCTCTGTGTTACTTGTATCTTATTGATTACTTTCTCGTAAGGACTCAATGTGTCTGTTCCATACGTTGGAACTGGATGTACCTACACAATGATCAAACACTTTCGTTTTCAAGCACATGGGAATATCTGATCTAAAATCTTCCCACAGTTTTCTGTAAGCTGTCCTTGTTAGTTCTTTCTCCTGTTTAACTGTTGTTTGATTGTGTCTTTCTAATTTAATCTCGTAGCCCAGATGTTTATAGGTATACACTTGTTGAATTTGCGTTCCATTGGTTAAAATGTTTTTGGTCAGTTTAAGGTTGGTTATATATTGTGTTTTCGAAAAGTTAATTTTAAGGCCAATTATCTACCCGGTCTATAATAAGGACTGTCATCTACAAACCTCAGGTTGTTCAGAAACTTTGACTACAATATTGTCTTAATTATTGTTTTTTATAACACTCTGTAATAAAGCGGTGAATAGTTTAGGAGAGATGTTGTCTCCTTGCTTAATGCTCTTCTCTAAGTGAAATGTATATGTGTCGCCGTAGTACATTCTCACTGCAGCTATTGCACTATTATATATATATATATATATATATATATATATATATATATATATATATATATATATATATTTATATATATATATATGAGCTCTTAATATGGAGGAGCTATGTTGGACTGAGTCAAATACTTTCTCAAAATCTACAAATAATAATATCAGTGACTTGTATTATATAACTTTCTCTAGAAAGGATTTTATTACTCGTAGGTGGTCATTCTGTCCAAAGCCACTCCTTTTTGAGGCTTGCTCTAGTTGGTTGGTAAAAATCTAGCTTAGGTCCCAGTCTGTTAGTAATTATTCTTATAAAGAGCTTATATAAAAGAAATAACAAGCTGATAGGTCTGTAGTTTCCTTTTTCTGTTACATCTCCTTTTATGTAATATTATCAATATACCACTATTCCATTTTTCTGGTATAACGCATTTGCCTCCTAGTTTTATTTTTTCACTTGCAATGCTGTCTACAATACTATATCTGGAAGTTCATCTGGTCATTGATTTTGTATTGCTGGAATTTCTACCTTTGGATTGTGAGAATCTCGACTCTATAATGTTCTGTAGTACTTTTCGATAATTTTCAGAATTTTTTGTTGTTCATATATGGCACGTCCTTGTTTATTTTTTAATTTATTAATATTCCTCATTCCTGGTTTCAACTTTAGTTTTATAATTTTAGGCTTTTGTTTTGATTAATTGTACTAGTTGTTTCCTTAATGTTAAAGTTCCTTATCTCGTTCCTAACGGTTTTGGAAACGGTTTTGTTTAAATTCCTAAGCTCAGCAATTTTTGTTCTGTGGTTATCTTTGATTTTCCTGCTTTTTTCCATTAGGTTTCTTGTGTCTTCTGTGTATTTTTCATATTTCATCTATGTGGGTAGTGATTGGTATATAAATATATATATATATATATAATATATATATATATATATATATATATATATAATATATATATATATATATATATATATATATATATATATATATATTGTATATATAATATATATATATATATATATATTGTATATATATATATATTATATATATATATATATATATATATATATATATATATAAATATATTGTGCGAACTAGTGCGAAGTACAGTATTGTGCGAATTAATGGAATCATAGGTTGTTTTAATGAAAAAACAGTTTATTTAGTAAAAAATTATATTTTGACAGAACTATAAATTTAAACTTACATCATTCAGTAGGAAATATGTCCCCTCTGGCAGCAATTACTGCTTTTACCCGTTTTGGCATAGATTCGATTACCCGATTCGGCAAAGTATATCTTTTGTGTGTTTTTGATTTACCATAAATCCGACGCCAACATTAGAAGACTCTCCTCTATCATGCAATAGGTTTCCCGACGAAAATACCATTTGTTCTGTACCTACCTACCTTGTCTTCGTTCGTAAAGGTAACCTGCTCGACTCCGGGGATTCTTAGCAGCTTCTCTACATCCGAGACTGCTACCATATCTTGGTTTCAAGGGACTACCGGAGACTTAGGGTCTTGCAATTTCGGGGATTCTTATTGTACTGGGTTTCTTGGCCATTTTCCTACCAAGCTAGCCTGCGTATTTTATTCTTCTAATTTTTCTAATTGTAATAATTTTTTCACATTCTTCACATATTTTGCATAAATATTGTTTTTCTATTTAATATAAAACATAGCTAATTACGGATAACAACAATGATTTACACAACGTAATGCAACGCCTTAATGAACGCTGTCATGAGTACGGACTGAAGATAAATTTAAAGAAAACTAAATGCATGATCATGACTAAATCTGCACATGCAAATATCCAATTGACTATTGAAGATAGTGCAATTGAGAGTGTTAATAACTATAAATACTTAGGAACATGAATAACATCAGATGTAGACCAAACCAAAGAAATTACGACACGTATTGAAATAGCACGTACATCATTTATTAAACTTAAAAAGTTTCTTTGTTGTCGGGATATAAGGTCAGAACTACGCCTGAAAATGCTTCGATGTTACGTGTTCTCTACTCTTCTTTATGGTTTGGAAGCTTGGACACTAAAACAAGTTCATCTGAATAAGTTGTCCGCCTTTGAATTTTGGTTTTACAGAAGAATCCTACGAATATCATGGATTCAAAGAATGTCAAACATGGAAGTATCTAGAAGGATAGGAAATGAGGCAGAAATAATATTAACTATTAAAAGACGAAAACTTGAGTACTTGGGACATGTGATGAGAGGGCAAAAATACGCATTATTACAACTTATTATGCAGGGCAAAATCTGAGGAAAGCGAAATGTGGGAAGACGAAGAATATCCTGGCTTAAGAACTTAAGGGAATGGTTTGAATGCAGTAGTGCAGAACTTTTTAGAGCGGCAGTCAAAAGAGTCCGCATAGCCATGATGATTTCCAACCTTCGATAGAAGATGGAACTTAAAGAAGAATAGCTTATTTTATTTTTAAACAATAGTTTATTGAGAGATGCAGTTTTGGGTAGTGTTTGTTTTTTCTTATTCAGATTTGTGCGTTATACATATAAAATAAAATACGTTTGATACTTGGTTATATTATATTGTATATTTGCTTTTTCACAGTTTGCTCAACATAACGGTACTATACGTTCCGTATATTATTTTATTATCTTCTTTCGCATTTTCTGCCCTGTATAGTACAATGTGATCTAATAGTATTTTTATTTCTCTATCAGGCACCCAGAGTAAACTTACTTATTTAGGTTACTTATTTTGTTCAAATTTCTTGTTTATACATTTTTATTTTTTATTTGTTTGCCCTTTTTTTGTCTTTTGTGTATAATGATATATTTTGCGATCTCTAATCAATATTCTTTCATTTGTTTTAAAGATTTCCTAGTATAATGATAATCTGATATGATTTAATTTTCCCGTAACTAGATTATTTGCTACTAAAATACGTAGTAATCCCTGTCATTACTATTACACGGTGTCTTATTTACTAATTTTCAAATTATTATCTGCTTTTTATAAATGTAAACTAGTTTTCCAATTCTATATATTTTTTTATTATATATATATATATATATATATATATATATATATATATATATTCTTATATATATATATATATATATATATATATATATATATATATATATATTAAAACATACTGGTTTTTAATGAGGTGTATTACAAACAAATACATGGTACACCCATGGGAAATGAAATATCACCGATCCTATGCCATTTTGTACTGGATGACTTAATTGAAAGCTGTATTAGGAAGTTACCATTTAATGTCCCATTTTTAAAGAGATACATGGACGATTTAATTCTTGCACTCCCAAAAGATAAAATATCGGAAACACTACACATATTTAACAGTTACTGTCCAGACTTACAATTTACAGTAGAATTAGAAAATAACAACTGCATACCATTTCTAGATATGATGGTACACCGTGATTCAAACAACGTTCTAAAAACAGAATGGTATAGAAAACCAATATGTAGCAACAGGTTTATTAATTACTTTTCAGCACATCCATCTAAGATGAAGACCAACCTAGTATTAAATATGAAAAGTAGGGTTATAAGTTTATCACATCCTGAATATAAAACAGCCGGTCTTAAAAAACTAAAAACGATCATGTTAGAAAATTCCTTCCAGCGAAACTTCTAAATAGACTTATTTTTGGTATCTCTCAAGTCATCAGAACAAATCAAACAGAAGTTTCAACAAACAACCAAAATACATTGTACCACTCTTTACCATATATTCCAGGTTTAACAAATAGACTACTAAAT